ATGTCATTCTGATCTATTAGCTCTATAGCTTGAAATTTTGGCGTTTAAGCCTTTTTCTTAAATATCAGTACATTGAATAAACCACAACATTTTCATTATTTGTTTCAGGAAAATGTGTATTTTATAGTAGAGAAAATACGGTATAAACTTTAATATAATCATTATCAGTGTGTCTAATGCAAAGTAGAAAATACACAAGACAATAGTTTAACTTTTATTTCCTAGAAAAAAGTCTTGAACATTTAAGCAGTTACGAAGATGAAACTAACCAGACAAATAAATAAATGAATAAATAAATAGATAAATGATCCAGTTAATTTGATCTATAAATGTAGTTAAATCGATAATTCTGTAGCCAACGACTAAAAATAGCATTTATTTTCCACAACACATAATTATTTTTCAGCCAAATCTTCTCCCTTGTGAATGCACTTCATTCACATGAATATGATGAATATTGATCAGACAGATCGAAAATTATACAATGAAAATATCAGATAAAAATCAGTTAATAATTACGTGTCTTACGGAATTATTTATTCTCGAAAATATTCAGTATAGAACAAACATGCAATGCAAGACCACTTCTCTAATTCAAGTGAATTCGTTCTTTATTAAGTTCCACATTATCATCGCCACATTAGGTTAGACAAAACTTGACTGATCCGTGTGCATATCTTCCAGTGGTGTCAGCTATAATCTATTTTTAATGATAAACAACAAATAGACATTGACCGCTTGAAGGGTGGAAGCATCTCAACATTTATAGTTCTTTTCTTCCGATTTGACCGGACGTACTGGGCCAAGCTTAGTAAACTTCAAAATGCTGTTGCAGTATTGTAGTTTGATTTAAAAAAATCAGCTAGGACTTCATTTTCGTTGATTTCTCGCTTTATTCGAAATAATTCAAGAGAGAATGTGAATTTGAATTAAGGAGAAGGTTTTTTTTACTTAAATTATGTTAATGCCATGTCTCTACGATGTAGGCTACAACGGTTCTCCACTGATTATTTTTTCTTTCATTTTCATGAGTTCATAGCAAAAAATAGTGGAATGGTTTGCCGTTGGTTTTTCCACGGATTTAAATTCAGAATGATCCCTTTTATTAGAACACATTGGAGGCTATAGAGCTCAGTTTAGATTGCTGTTTAACCCATAGAAAATGAGTGAAGGTGAAGAGATGTATCCATGCAGGGGCATTAATCCGTAGTTATCTACCCGTGATGGCAAGATGTGACACAAGGTCGTTTTTAACGTGGTATTGCCATCGGCCAATCTCAAAATTGCCTGGAGGCATGCTGCCCGTATTCCACCAGCTTTTCCTCTTTTAGTGTAATGAGGAAGGTGCTGCCGCAGGGTTAGTGTCCTGGAGACCAGACACCTTCTCCATTGATCAAAAGTTGAATAGATACCATACATTCATCTCGGTCAGAAGGTCGAGAAGCGAATAAAATACCAGTCTTAGGTTTGGTACAAGGCTACAAAAATGGTGTACCCAATAATGAAAATCATCGCATAGTTATAATGGTTAAGCAGACTAGCTCGGTAACCATCACCCCACATGGAGGCACCAAAGGGAATTATTGCGAAAGTAAGCCGGAATTTGAACTCAGCTTGTCGAGTTTAGTTTCACTTTTAATGGTTGAATAGCTGCCTTATCTATGATGCCCATTATTTCTATTTCTGAATACTTTTCATTGAGCCATTCTTCTTTTTTTTCTGCCTGCATTTGCTTCTAATTTCTTTGTGTAATATACTATATTCTGTACCATACCTTTGTATTGTTTGCTGTTTACTTTCTATCAAACTGAGAATTATATATGGTATTCACTCCTTTTTCCTTAGTTTAATTTCCCTTGAGATGAACTCATTTGCTGATACCACTAAAGCTTGTTTTATTTGTGTCAATTTCCATTCTCATTTAATTCATTGTATTTGATTTTAAGACTGTCAGAATATATCTCTTAGCAATATGAGTCATTCAGTGGGCGATGCTTTAGCTTACTTTAATTTCAGTAGTTTTATTCTGAGGTCACATATGACTGGAAGGTGGTCACTCCCACAGTCGGCACTTCATTCCCTGCTTTATATTACTGGATCGGAAATATGCTTGCGCAAAAAATTGAATCGTTATTTAGCACAAATTTCTGTTGAGCTGTTGGCAAAATTGGACGAATAGCAGTACACTTTGTTAGGTTTTATTATGAAAATCAATGTTTTCACAATAACACTGGTAATTACCGAGCGATGCTGGTAAAATGTTCAATATACACTAATATTAACAGGAACAATATATCGTATGAATTTTAGTTGATAACTTATTTTGGAGAGTTTTTGCCATGTCAACAAGCGAAATACAGCATAATCTTATATTACGAATATTATTTATGAATAAATCCAAAAGATACAAGTCAAAAACATATTTTTGATTAACACAATATCCTATGTACCGGAATAAATTATTTTATATGTTAATTTGATCTCCTCGGCTTTCTATAATTTTCACTAGCCTTTTATCTATTTATTTATACTGTTTCCATTTTAAAGTTATTTACAGTATTTTTTTTTGTTCGCAGAAATATTTGTTTAAATATTGCTCTCTCTTTTTATGAATATGATTATATTCTAAAAATCTTACCAATATTCGTTGGTCAATACCAATTCTCTTGTGAAAACGTTGACTTGCATAATAAAATGTGACACTATGCAGCTGTGATTAGCACAGCCGACATACTAAACGCACAGAATTTGTTTTATAGATTACCTTTTTTTATATACCAAGTCACATCGGCTCCACACTGAAGATGATAATTCAAATTTTTCTTCCGAGGTTAAACCAGACAGCCGTATTTAATAATGACAGCGAAAGTAGGTATTCATTTAAATCAATCAAGCCAAACAAGTTTTACTTTTACAAGATTATGTGGAAATTATCTTTTGGAAGCGTATTGTGTTAGTCATAAATGTCAGCAAAGCAGAAGTTCTCATCTCTGCCTGCCCCTCTTTAGTGAATAATATATTATGAATATATAATTGGGTGCATGTAGCTATAGATATTTATTTAACATAGCTAGCATGGTAAAAGGCTCATTTATCATTCAGTGTTTATGCATACTAACAATTGCTTCATAGAACTTGCATAAGCACAAAATCAGGCAGTTGTTGACATCGATGAATACTTAGCTTGTCTCGAAGACCACTGCACTGTATGAGACCCTAATTCGTCCTGGGTACTCTCTCTAATATAGATTTAAACCAGGTTAAGTTAAAACAATCATTTAAAAATGATATAATTCGCTCTTTATTAGATAATTCACTTAAAAAATAAAGAAATAAAAAATCTGAAAGGATTAAACTCAAGCACACCTAAATAAATATCTACAGGTCGTGAAGTAACAATTATAGGCTAATAGAAGGTGTTTCAATAAGACCGATTTTAAATGTGAATTAAGTTTAAGTGTCTAATGATTTTTCTTTTTTCTTTCAGATTTAACAACTTAAGTCTTTGGCAATTTAAACCGTAGAAAGATTAACAAACAACGTGTTAAAGTTATCGTAGCCTATTACGATAATGGACGTTCAAATTTATAAATATACGGTCTAGTGATTCCGCTAGCAAAAGATGCACACCAAACAGTGACCTTTTGTGGGTGGCTTTTTAACTATCTTCCTTGGACTTTCATCAGCTCAAATGCGACAATTCTGATTATTAATCCACCAAGATGAAAATGGGCTTCATCACTAAAGAGGATTTTTGCGAAAGATCTTCATCGGCTTGTCTTTGCTCGTGCACCCAACTGACGAATGTTCGGCGCTCTAAATGGTCAGCAGGTTTCAGTTCTTGTGTCAATTGAATTTTGTACGTGTGTAGAAACAAATCTTTTACAAAATTCGATGTAATGTTGTTGTGGATAGGTTCAATTCCTGCGCGCGAGGTGTCTGGATTTTCGGCCACATTCTCTTGCACTGCAGCAATGTTTTCAGCTGAACGGCGTAAACGAGCACGCAATGGTGTTTTCACATCTGCCACCGACCCAGTTTGTTTGAATTTACAAACAATTTTTCCAAATGCTCTCTCGGTTGGTCGATTATGTTGACCAAAAAAAAAAAAATTTCGCGAAGTGCGTGAAATGCATTTCTGTTTGAACGTCCATTTTCGTAATAGGTTTCGATGATTTAATACATTTATCGGTCACACTACTGGCTTCCCTTTTTTTAGATAATGTGTTGTTCTGATGATTATAGGATTGATTGATTTGTTTTCTTATGGTTTATCAACCCTTTGTGTGTTTAAAGCCGAGACATATTTTTTGATTGCAAGAATAATTCTTTTATTCTGTGAGGGAATATTGCATTGACAAGTTTTTGAGAATAAAAGTTGATTTTTCCAGATACAGGGCCTACTATTTAACCCATAGCTGGGGAGGAGACGGATTCATATCTTTTGCGACTGGAATTCGAACTCGGATTTCCAATTCCTCATTCCGATCCGCTATCCATTGCACCAGTGATTATGGGAACGCAGACATTTAATCTAATCGAAGTTACAATAACAACGAGATCTTCAGCAATACAACGCTGTTCATTTATTTTGCTTCGTGGGTATCTTGCCGTGGTGTAATGAGGAGAAAGCTGTTCTTCCTCTTCACTAGCTGCTATCCAAGGCTATAGAATTCAGTCTGCCTTGTCATTTAATCCAGAGCTGTGAGGAGAAGAGATGATTGGTTGGTTAGTTTGTTGGTTTTGTTTAGCGGTATATCAATGTTTTTATGTGGATTATTTAATGCCGAAATCTAAATTTTTTGTACGCAATTGGAGATAATAATGATTTTAGATATACAAGTCTTACAAATTAACCCATAGCTGGCGGGGGTGAGGAGAAGAGGTGGATTCATATCTTTCCCAATGATATTTGCGCGTAAGTGAATATAACAAACTCAAGTGGAATTGAAACTCGGTTCTCCGATTTAAAATTCCGAACCATTATCGATTACGCCACCCACACTGGGTATTTCCAAGCGCTCAACCATCTAGGTACTGACTGGGCACGACATTGCTTAACTTCGTTGATCGTACGGGTACCGGTATTTCAACGTGATGTGGACATAAGCCAAGAAGAGATATGTTCATGTCTTTCCCGAAACAACATTTGTGTGAAAGTGAACGCGGCAGACTAAACAGCGATTTGAACACGACTCGCCGATTTCACTTTCTGCGCAGATAAATACCTGTACTTCATAAAGCGATATTATTGAATTTCCCAAATCGATCTTATTCGGGGCAAATCAGTGAATAGGTCGTTATTAAGCAAGCTAATATCTAAGCCGTTATGAATAACTTTGATCCTTAATTCGTGCTCCTTTAACATGTCCGTGTACCAATGTTTACTTTATAAATATTGGCCTTAGTATACACAAATCTTTTGAAGTTTATGGAAGTACCTTCAAAAATCAAAATGTTGAAAGCCTTACATATGATCTTTCCGCTGGCTTCATTCTAACTCTAAATAAATAGCTTGTAACTTTCAGTACCTCTTAAACCAAGCGAACATTATTTCATGGACACTAATCAGAACCGGAGCTTTCTCCCTTTAGTGGCATTCTCAACGAAGTGCAATGTTTTGCACGTCTAATGGGACTCAAGTTCACTCCAGACTCCATACATAGTGGAATTCATACATACGACCCTTTCCTAAAGAAGCTGGAAAATGGACATCTCGTTCTACTGCCCCATAAAGTATCCGACTTCTGCCATACATTAGCTTTACAAGAGTAAAGACCGAAAATGAAGTATCGCTGCCTTATTTGGACTGAAGATGCTCATCTTACTCTTTACAGACTTGGCATAGTTCAAAATCGTTTACGTAGCCTTGTGAGAGATGACAACAGTCTTAAACTCTTCAAGTTAAGGATCAGTCATTATTTTCCTAATCCTCGTAATATTCAGTTCATTCTAGCTTCTTTTATATTCACATCACACACCTCATTCAGTAACTCTCTACCATGAGTGGCTCTTAAGTATTGCATTGTGTGAACTTTATTAAAAAATGTTGAATCGAAAAGTTCTTTATTTCAGTACACTTTTTCTAGAAAGTCAAGTACATGTATTTAATGTAAGATCATTGAAATAATCGAACAAAGATGAAAGTTAAGCCTGAAATAGAAGAAAAATATATAGAAATAAATAAAGACAAAAGATTGAATACTGATAGTCACATTTTTATTTCGCAATATTAAACGAATCACATCGGCATTTTGTTCGATTCTCTTTATTATTAGGATCGATTATTCTCAATTAAAATGTTCTTTGAATTTATTTTTCTCGTTCGTTGAACCTTTTCTAGGAATGTTTGATTAATTTCACACGTCCACAAACTCTTGTACACGTACATTGACTATCACAATGATCTTTACGCACACTATCAGATTTAGATGGTTTTGTGCGAAAGGAAAAATATTCCAAGGCAGACTGATCATGAAGCCTCGGTATTTTAAATTCATCAAATAAGAATGAAGCAATACAAATCACGCACACACGCATTCGTACACAGCAATACACGAATATACATGTCAATTTTTATTTTGTTTTTGTACCATTGACAAATAATATTAAAAAACGAAGCAACGATACAAAATAGAATAATGGATAACATCGGAATAAAACTTTTTGAAAAAAAACTGTTAAAAATATCAAAAAGACAACAAAATCAAAGCTTAATAAACAAAACATTACATACAAGAACGAAGCACTTAATCCACGTTTTAGTGGTGATATCAAATTTCGTACACGTTTATACATTTATTGACTCAGTTAAATGCTGTCTTATTATTATTGTTATTATAATTATAATTATCATGATCATTATAATTATTATTATTGTTGTTGTTATTATTATTAATAATAATAATAATCATTTATAAAATTCTTATTCAGAATTATATCAATTTTTATTATTTTATTGGCTAAGAAATGACTAACATTGTCTACAAAATAAATTATGGTTTGAAAATATGGCCCTTTGTATACACACACACACACATATATATAAACACACATCATACATATGTGTTATATATATATATATATATATATATATATATATATATATATATATATAATAATAACTGGCCACTCGTATTCGAGGATACCCGTCTATTAGGACGGCTAGCCAATCCCTATTGCAGACGCTCGTTCAGGAACATTTGTGTTTGTTCAACACCCATAGAACCCACCTGTGGCTTATACTAAAACTATGCTAAGCAGACCTTAGTTACAGTTTGTCGGAGAGAGCGAGTTATCTAGCGTGATCAACAGTCTAAACAAGGCCAGCACACTTAATGACTTGTGACTTCATGCCCGCACAGCTATCGATGGCCCAAAGTGTTCCAATTTCACTCACAAGACTTGGGTCAACCGGTGGTATGGCTTTCAGAAACTTTCCAAAGGTGCCGCACGTTGAGATCGCCCCCCCCTCTCCAGACCGACAACATCAGAAAGTCTCCTTTCTGACAAATCAACCATGGGGAGATTCAGAGAGCGAACGTTCTAACCACTTGGCCACACGCCCATATTATGCATGCTTACACGCAGACAAATAATAAAGCAAAAATCATTATTAAAAAACATAATAAAAGCGAAAAATGAATTTAAAAGAGCCATATTTCAGCTAATTTCAAAATAAATTATAAGGATTTTGATAAATTTCAAGTTTAGTAAAAGACGCTAATATTGAAGATACCTTTAACAAATTAGTCATCGTCGCATTCATTCGAAAAAATTACGCCACTCTGTTAATATAAAAAAATAGTTTTTTTTCAACGTGCCTATAGTGTTTAGTATGTATTTTTTATTTAAATGCTTCGTAAATTACACCATTATATTTTACTCATATTTATAAAATTATTTAGAAGATGATATAAGTATACCGAAAAAAAGTACTTAAGAGATGTCGAACATGCATGTATCTATGTGTGTGTGTGTGTGTGTGTGTGTTTGTGTGTGTACATATATGTATATACGTACGTGTATTTAAAATTATATATTTGTTGTTGTTGAGGTATTTCGAGAATTATTGTAAAGTGTTAATGAAAAGTCAAGAGAAATTCTTTATTATAAAGCATTATAAATAACTTTGTTTTCATTTCTATTACCTGCCAAATCACGATATTATTCGGCTACGGCCATTACTTCACTCAATTATCTCAATTATCAATAATGTCTGTCATTGTTATAAGCATTTTGGTGGTCATTTTGTGAAATTTTATTTTCGGTGTTGCAAACTACGAGCGAAAATTCACATGAATAAATAAAAAAAAAGACATTTTCTGAATGGCTAATTTTGTGAGTAATATTTATCCATAAGTGGCTTGATTCAAACTAGATTTTTGTTAAGGCCAAGGTATTATTATTTCTGACTCGCCCTTTCAATATATATTGTGCTTCGTATGTTTGTACACCAGCATCACTTTGCTGGTGTGTTGCTCTCCCGCTAAGCAACAACAACAACAACACAATAATAATAATGATAATAATAATAATAATAATAATAATGATAATAATAAATTCATTATTATAACTATTTCAATTTACTTTAATGATAATTATTTTTATATGTAGATTTATTTTTCGTATAATTTTTATTTTTTAGCATAATTAAGAAAATTTATAATTATTAACGCTGTCTTAGCATTTTTTACAATTTTCACACCAGTAGTAACTGATGTTTAATGGGTGACAGAAATTTTGTTGTTGTTGTTGTTGTTGTTGTTGTTAGCCACTTTTGGGCCGGAGCTTTGTAGGCTAGTACCCACTTCTAAAAATAATATTAAGGGCGTGACTATTAATTCAATTATTATTGTTAGCTATACAATTATTATTGATTTCTCGCGCCAGTAATAATTAGTGACTTTTCCTTGGGATCATTTGAAAACATGTATACTTATTTATAGGTATAAAATATTCTGTAGTCATCATAAATTGTAATAATTAAATTATGGAAGTGGAATCGGCGAGTCATGTTCAAATTCCGTCCTCCTTTGTTGTGTTCACTTTCGAACACTACCTGCTTAACTCCCTTAAAAGGGAAACATTGTACTAAAACTGGACTTGTTTCACAAGTCCTTATTGTATGGAGTATTTGAGGTCGAACGGTGAGCAGCTCGTTGTTCTTACAAGCTATTAATAAGGATTGAACTCACTACTCATTAGATCGATATGGCACTACGAGTTGCCTACGAAGTTGGACTATTCCAACATTAAAAAAAAAAAAGAAAAAATATACTTCCAAATAAACAATGAGATGATATCCATTTTCATTTGTCTGATGGATGAAATATTTATGTATTTCAACCGGTGTCAGGAATTGGTGCTCGAGCCCAAGTATTATTTAGGACTTCGAGATTGGCGGCGCATAGTCTTCTTTATTTAATTTTCCTTCTAAGCCTTATGTTGTTCTTATCTAACTAATCTGTACCGGTATTTACTTAGCTTTCTTTAGCTTGGCAAAAGACATTAAATGTAGGGCAACGATTGAGAATCAAACTCACTAGTCTACGAGAGTCGCCAGTTAGATAATGCTACGAAGCAGTCTCCCAAATTTCTGGCTTCTTTTTCAATAGTTTATCTGTAGTTTTCTGTATTTTTTTTAACATTCCTATTACGGTCTTTGTATTAATTTAGGACTGAATTACTAACCTTCCACCACAGGTAAACGCCTTTGTTCAGGGCTTGAATTTTTTCTACATATAGTTTTTTAATAAAGCCCGACCCCGAGAGCAATGCATGCTATTTTTGCTATTCGATATACTACTGTCCTTCGCAACAAAATCTATTTTTTGTGCTCGTGGTTTTAGTGTGAACAGAATTATACCTCCGATCTGTTCCGTTTCAGTGTTCTAGCTATTGTATCTGGTAAGTATTTTTTTCAAAGATACCTGATTGTCTACAGGAACTATATATCAAACACACTTATGCTGCTTGTTATATCTAGTGATATATTAACAATATGAGTACATTTTTATAATAATGTGATTGAAGTTTTCACAATCATGGGAACACTGGATATTGCTACTCTAACCTTTGCTCGGAGAGTTGAAATGATCAAGGCATT